TTGCTTTAAAACACTGTCAGTAGCTTGTAAAGGACGATTATCCTCCCCCTCCCTCCCCCTCCCCTCTCCCCCGTCACGACAGTTTACAGACGACAATGAATAGATTAAGCATAACGTATTAACTCTCATTAGTTTCAAATCGTTTAAAAGCTAAATTATCTGCCCCAATATCATTCACTAATTCGACCTGGCTCTACGATTGTAAATATTTGGCACACCAGACTGGTTGGGCTGAGTGTGGCAGCGATATGGTCTGTTGAGCATACCTGGAGAGGGAGTGGTAGATTCGGCGTGTCCCGCATGTTCCCTCTATGTAGAGAATTATATATATATATATATATATATATATATATATATATATATATATATATATATATATATATATATATATATTGTCGTGTAACTCTGTTGTAACTATCACATTACTGTGATTTGTCTAGACTTTAAATAGAAAATAATTTTTCGTGTCGCCAAAATATATTAGGTTACGATATGTAGGCCTCCGTATTATTGTTTCAATTTTGTATTTTATACTAAACAGTGTTATATTTGAAAAGTTCTATATGTCATCTGTGACAAAAGGAGTCATTTTACACCTCATGGGATTTTAAGCTAGCTAGAAAACAACAGAGGAAGATTTTGTTAAATACGCTTGTATTAAGTTCACATTATCTGCCATTTTGTCCAAGCATGAAACTAATTCTTGATTAATTTCTCATACAGTGATTTCGTTTAAGCGTTCCATATATCTTCGTCCTCGGAGACAATGCAAGTATTTCGAAATTGTTTTTTAATAGATACAATGGTTCGAATCTCCGGGCAGATGGGGCTCGATAGCTGGGGAAAGCAACTAATCAACTGCTCCCTTTGTTCTTGGATGGACAATGTATATGGAAGCAAATCCAGAAAGAATGCAGGCTGAAATCGGAGTCAACGGCATATAAGACGCAAAATAAATTTACTTGTAGGCTACTACTTAACTGTGTTGGATTGGAAATCCCGTCCAACATTACAATAAAGAACGAAGAATCTATATATATAATTCTCTTCTTCGAGCCGTTAGAAAACAAGCTGCAAACGCTCTCCCTACCTCCCCACCCCTACATGGTTTTAGTGAGCTGTGTTCACTCTAAATGTTTACAAGCAGAGCCAACGATTTTAAACGTAGGGGGGGGAGGGGGGGGGGGGAGGGAAGGAAGGGGGGGGGGGTTATGGTCCTTAACGAGCTACTTATAGTGTTTTAAAGAAATATTTTCAGTGTCAGCGTTGGTACTGTCGAATTCACAAATTATGAATTATTGAAAATTAGAAACAACTAAATAGCGGCGTATGTTATGCCGCGGGCCGGCTCGTAGGATATTAATTTTTTATTTTGAAATAGTTTAATTATTACTAAATTCAATAACACAATGGGATAAATAACATAAAGTACTGCTTCTGGTCAACGGAAATTACGCAAAATTAATAGCAGGCAGAAAATTAGATCATTTCCTCATATGTGAAATTTCGTTTATCCATCTGAAACCAAAAGTAGAAAAAGTTCCACTTCCGGTTATCGAAAATCGCTGAAAAGTTTAAACAGAACTGTACATTTTATGTAATACTTATATGTGAAATTTCATCAACCTAGCTGTAACGGTACTCAAGTTATCGTGTTTACAGACAAATGTACAGGCATACATATGTGGTGGCGTAGATGCAGGTGTAGGATAGACAGTGTACGTGACGGAGACGATCGACGAAGCACGGGTTAGAATTAGATTGTGATTACGGGCGACATCATTGTGGGGGGTAGGTGTAGCAGACACGTATCTAGTTAGCCTTTGTGACCGTAATGGGGGTAGTTTATTAGCAGGGTCTGACATTTTAATTAGGTACGACAGAACTGTGGCGACATGCAAATTAGGTTAGACCGGATGGGAAAGACAAAGAAGTGAGGACGATGAGGGTTAGGAGACAGTTGAATCTAGGCAGTCGAGGTTGAGACCATTGTAGTGAGAGGACGGATTCAAGTGTAGAGTTAGGGAACAGTGTAAGGACAATAGTGTAGGAAACCTTGACCAGTAGGTGTAGGCAACAAATATATATTGTGTGAAGCATCGGATGTATAATAGGTAAAATATTGTGAATCAAACTGATATTCGAGTTGGCTTATTTACTGTACGGATATGAGAGTCTCGTCCTCGTCACAGTAGTAACTATATGTGGAAACTAATAGAAGAATAACAAGAAAAATAGAGAAAGCAAGCAATTTTTCCCCCACCACAACATACAAACACATAAATGGACAAAATTGCGAAACAATGTTTTTACGACTCAGGGAGGAGTAAAACGTCAAGATATGTGAAACACTCGGTTTCAATTTTTTGCACGATTACAATACTTCCGCTACACTTCCTATACGAGAAACTAAAAAAGATAAAAAAGAAACAACTACAGATACGTATATTATACTTGAAGCTACTATATAAACGTGCAATTTCCCGTGTCCCTGTTTTCTGACTAACATTAAACTACACGTTAACAAACTTACCTGCAACGTATCTGTGTAACTTCTGATAAGCCTGATATAAAAACTACACTCAATCTAAACGGCGTATTGATTTTTCTACTTAGATATATTGATCAGTCAATATTGATTTTTCAACTCCAAGTTGTATGAAATAATTCTTTAACCCGGAAGTCAATAACATAAGCGTAGTTCTACATGTTCTGTTTACACCTTTTGTTAAGCAGAAAAGCTTTTGCTTCATCTTGTAGGTAATGAAGACAAATAAGAAAGCCACTTCTTAAAGTAGGTAGTAGCCTACAGACCAGAAACAAAGCATCTGATTTTTACTGTAATACAGAAAAGCAATAGGGTACCTTGTTAAAATTTAAAACCGCTACAATTTTCAAACTTGATCTCCTTGTTCTAAGAATCGGTGTGCGGTATTTCACTTTGCGCAGACAAGTTCCTTACTTTAAAACAAGAAACTTTTCTAATCAAGTTCACTATTTATATTTTGTTAATGTTAACTATTGTAATGTACATACATTCTCTAAAACAGAAAATTGCATTTGGGGTCAGTGTAAGAAATGAATTTCCCTATTCCAACCAGACTGTTCATGTGCCAAGTGAAATAGTGTTCGCCTATTTCTGTAACCTCAACATATGAAGGGATACTGTGGTCAGCATTATAACCAGCCGACTTAACTTTCCCTAACTTAACTTTCCATTCGAAAAAGGTTGGACAGACGGATGTCAACTGATTTGACATACAATTTATGTGAGTGATCAATCACATTAAAACGAAACAAAATTAAAATCGCATAGTTTACTTTACTATTAAACAAATCAGGGAAGGGAAGCAACTCTGTCTATTAATTGAATTATTTTTACATGACACTTGTTACGGGTCAGTTGTAGGTTAGACTAGAATAGGATAGAATGATCTATAATTAGGGGAGAGTGAGTGTGTGAGTTGAGTTTACCCTAGAATATTGTTAACCCCGGTGTGTTTGTGTATTGTTATCCCAAGGTCGAATGCGGTATAAAAGCTGGAGTGAATGGTTGTTAGGGGTTAGTTGGTAGTGGTTAGGTCGAGGGGTATTCTGTAATGTGATATGTGAGACCTAATAAACGTATTGAACGTTAACCCGAGTCGTTCTTAAATTCGAATCTGACCTGGACGTAACAGTTCCTAAGGTTGTAACTTCACTACATGGTAGTGGAGATTTGTTAAAATGGTATTTGACCGAGTCAAGGGACTCAAACCCTCTCGCACTCACTCAGCGCAACAGACTGGTCAAGTCTTATTTGTATTGTTTCTTTTGCTTTTAACATATAAACTTTTGTGACGCCAAATTAAGATAAATAAATGTATAAATGTGTGTTACTAAGTTTCATTTTTAGTTTAATCATAATGTTGTATTATTGTGAAGTAATTAGTTTTTCTCAGGTCTATTAGACCCCTTTGTCATAACACGAAGGTGCACGGATTTGAGAGAATCACCACATCTCATCTCTCTTTAATCGGGACCCCCCCCCCTCTAACATATATATATATATATATATATATATATATATATATATATATATATATATATATATATATATATACATATATATATATATATATATATATATATATATATATATATATATATATATATATATTGTTACGACTGTGGGGGCATAGATTGCAGGGGTAGGGTTGATTATAGACGTGACCCAGACTAAACAGGTCTTGACGAAGACGATTGGCGGTGTACGTGTTGCAGTTAGATTGTAATTAAGGGCGATGGCATCAATGGGGGTAGGTGTAGCAGACACGTATCTAAATAATCTGGGCGACCTTGGTAGGTGGAGTAGACTGAGAAAGCTGGGTAGGTTTACTAGCAGGGTCTGACATTTTAATCAGGTACCCCAGAACTGTGGCGACATGCAAATTAGGTTAGACCGGACGGGGAAGATAAAGAAGTGAGGACTAGGAGGGTTAGAGACAGTTCACCAAGCAGCTCACCAAGGAGGACATTTAGTTGTACATAGTATAGATTAGACTAGGTGAGGATTTTCACATTGGTGGTGGTTACTCTTAAATATTGTACCTCTGTTGTGATAATTAAACTTGAGCTATTATTGTAAGGTGTTCATATGTCTTATTTTCTTGTTTTTGTTTACGATTCCCTGACTAGTTCAAAAGAATTAATGAAAGTTATATATATATAATGCTGGGAAAAAAATTGAACGAATCAGCTCTCGAAAACGGAAAACGATCTACTTTCAACTTACGATAATCTCGATGATCTATACTCAACTATAAACTCGACTACTCAAATTTTAAAATTATTATTTTAAAAAAATGTTTTCTCATAACCTAACGTTTATAGAAATAAAAAGGAGGAGAACATAAGCTATAAATGTTAACTTCTTTTTAAAAAATAAATTAATTTAAAATAGCTTCATCAAACAAAAGTTGGTTTAATTTGTAACCGATTTCTACGTTAGAAGTAATTACCGCAGTAAATGTTTTTAGTTTTCAGCAAAGTTTTTAAGCTTTTAATCTCAAGGTCCAATTCTTTTCTTGTCAAAACACAGTTTTTCTTGATGCACATTAGAAACCCAGTAACTAGTCTGGGGGAAAAAATTAAAAAGAAACTTTTGATGTATTACTTTTTACATCAATATTTGTAATTTTGAATTATTTGTGACCTTTCTGTCTTAATATGTATATTAATATTTTCAATTTTCTATTATTTGTGGTAAGCACAATATTAAAGAATTCTAGAGTCACTTAATCCTAACCTGGTAAGCACAAGATTATAGAATTCTAGAGTCACTTAATCCTAGCCTGGTAAGCAAAGGATTAAAGAATTCAAGTTACTTAATCCTAGCCTGGTAAGCCCAATATTAAAGAATTCAATAGTCACTTAATCCTTATCTAGTAAGCACACGATTAAAGAATTGAATGTGTTCCTTCTTAACCTATTTCTGCCTACACTACCGTATTGTAACTATCACAATAGTGTCGTTTCTCCAGACATTAAACAGAAAATCAATGTCCGTATCGCCGAACTATATTAGGTTACGATATGCAGGCCTACAGCATTATTGTTTCAATGGTGTGTTTTATACTACACACTATATATTATATTATATTTGAAATGTTCTGTATGTCTTCTCTGACTTTGTGAGTCACTTAGTGTCTCTGGGTATTTTGAGACAGCTTTAAAAAAGACGTGCTTCTAAAAGAATTCGGTTTATTTCTGTTTAATTATTTTACAAATTTGTTTGAAGTTTTTGTTAATTAAGCACACTTTTAAGAAGCTCACAATATCTGCCATTTTATTCATTTCTAAAAGTAAAGCTCGACCAATTTCTCATACCGCGATTTCGAATAAATTTTCCATGTATATTCGTCTCCAAAGACACTGCAAGGATTTCAAAATTGTTTCTGAATACATACAATGGTCAGATAGGTAAAGCTCATCGTTACTAAATCAAAAAAACCTCAAGCTCGGTAGCTGGGGACCAGAGGCATAGCGACCCTTTCCGGTGCCCGGGGACAAACTTTCAATTTGGCGCCCCCCGCCCGGGGACAAACTTTCAATTTGGCGCCCACTCCCCCCCCCGGATAAAACTTTCAATTTGCCCCCCCCCCCCCCCACCGGGACAAACTTTCAATTTGGCACCCCCCCCCCATATATTTTTTTATATTTATAATGCAAAACGGCAGCTAAAATGAGCTTTTATTTTTTTTCAACCCATTTTGGCGCCCCCTAGGGTGGCGCCCGGGGACATATGTACCCCCCGCTCCACCCCCTCTCGCTACGCCTCTACTGGGGACAGCAATTAATCTAGGAGAGACAACTCCAAAATCAAACATCTACTGCCTTGTAGTTTATACTTAGATGAACTAAGTCGATGGAAGCAAAGCCAAAAATAAAGCAGACTGAAACAGCACATTAGGCCCATAACAAGTTAACACGTAATACTTAATAGTGTTGGATTGAAAATCACGTCTAAAAAGAAAAGAATATTACATTTTCATATTGAAAAATTTAAAGGTTATTATGTTCAATAACAAGATTAAGTTCTGTCAGCCGCTTGATGGTGGCGAGGTGTTAATGACTGGTGATTGGTGTCAGGGAGCCCACCACAGACTTCAACAAGTGACAAGTACTTGTCTTTTAAAGTTAACGTCGCAAGCTACCTATTGGGCTTTAGAGCAAACATGTTTAACTTTAGCTATAATTTTCGTCTCGCCTAAAACTAGTTACGTATCACAAAGAATAAAAAGTCAAAATTTGAAGATACGTATATTATACATGAAGCTCCTAGACACACGTGTAATATTCTGTGCTCCTGTTTTTTTCACTGGCATTCAACTACACGACAACAAACTTACCTGCAACGTAAAACTTCTGGTTAGCCTGATATAAAAGCTACCCTCAAACTAAACGGCATATCGATTTTTTTACTTATATATTTTGATCAGTCAATATTGATTTTTCATTTCCACGAAAAGTTTTATGAAATAATTCTTTAGCCCGGATCTCAATAACTTAACTTAGAACTAGCCGTGCTTTAGTTTACTACTGTTGGTAACCAGTGGCGTAGTGAGGTCGGGTGTCACCAGGTGCGGCACTTAATGGTGTAACTCCCCAGAGGCGTAGCGACCCTTCCCGGGGACAAACTTTCAACTTTCGAATTGCACCCCCCCCCCCTCAAACTTTCGATTTGCACCTCTTAAAAGACTATTTAACACTCGAATTAATCACTTAATAAAGTGGAATTATCATTTTTCTCTTTTTATTTTGCTATTTTTTGCCTTGGTGTCACCCCCCCCCCTAAATGGTGTCACCCGTTGCGGTCCGCACACCCTCGCTATGCCTCTGTTAATAACAACAAAACTTCTTGTTAATGTAGTGATGTCTAATACAGACGAACGACACAACTTATATTATAAGAATAATTATAAATATATATATATATATATATATATATATATATATATATATATATATATATATATATATATATATATACATATATATATATATGTAACGAGACTATTTGCCTGTAGTGCCAAATGTTAACGAGTTCTGCTCGACAACGCCAAATGTTACCGAGTCTAACCACTCATTCTACACAACATCGACCACAGTATAGATACTCGAAGATGCAGGTTCGCTATTGATCCTTTTATTACATGAATCAAAGAAATGCTTCACAATAATATAATGAATCAAAAGGAATGCTTCACAATAATAGTCTGAATCAACTGACCCCCAACAGTCCTCACTAGTCTTCACATAACTGAATGCACATGTCTATCGTCCTTCTTAACACAATACGGCTAACCCGTTCAATAACCAACTTGATACTGCCTCACTGACTGACTGATCGAGAGAGAGAGCCCTAGATCTCAGCCGTCGCCTTCCTATATATCCCCTTCGTATTCGTAATCGTATTCGGTTCTATCATAATCGTAATCGTAATCGATTCTAATCGTTGCATCAGAATGTTAATTACGCCGCTTCTGTCGTACAGTCCGATTTAATAAGCCATCTGCATCCTGTCACATCAAAGTTGACAGACCGTATTGCGTTCTTATCGTATCGCTTCCCAAGATACTACGCCTTGGCTTTCTGATCGTTATCAGCCAACACCTGTGTTATTGCATCAGTCGTGTCAAAGTTGACAGCGCTGTACTGCGTTATGTCTCTGGTAACTTCCCCTAGTTACATCCACCCCTGCCTTTTTTTGTGTGTTATCAACCACAAACAACGCTTGGCAGGTGCAGTCCTTCAAAGTCCATCGCACCACCGTAAAAAAAAAAATGTATTGTTCCACTCACTGTCAATGTCGTCACATTCGTATAAGATTGACAGTTATCCCTATTTCACATATCAAATGTGTCTACATCATCTTCCTCAGACACAAAACAGTTCTAGAATTCACATCCACCTTTTTTCGTTTGGTGCCTTCACCAGTTCACTTTTATGACTTTTTGAACAGTCTGTTCTCATACTAGCGCGACCATGAAAGAATTGATGGTTGCTGACAAAAAATTTCGTATTCTTTCTGTTTCTCAAACTTCTCCGCGGACCACTTATCTGATGGTCTACTGTCTCTCTGCTTCTGGGAGGAACGGGATCCTCTTCGTTGCCGTTATCCTCCACTTGTGTATCGCTGTTGTTCTGTTGATGGTGACATGGTTCCGGGATGGGTATGTGAATTTCCGTTATAGTTTCCGGTTCCCTAATTGTCTTGGGTTTCCTTGTGTGTAACTGCTCTTCTTGACTATGACAATATTTCTTTAATTGAGCAATATTCGCCCACCGATCCGGTTTGGCGTGATCGATGGGTCTTATCTTAAAGGGGCCACCTGCTACTTTAGGCATCTCCACGACTTGCCATATCTCCTGTCCCCAGAGGTCGTGGATTTTGTTTCTGCCTAACGGGTGGCTACGCAGTAATACCCTGTCGTTCAGTTTGAGTGGCGGGTCCTTTGTCTGTACCGGCGGTTCCCTTCGCCGTGCTTCATGTTCTAGTCTTTCCTGTACTACCCTGTACATTTCTCTAATTCGTCTCATATGTTCATTCACATATTCCAGTGCAGTGTATGAGCCAGTCATACTCTCCTTTTTTCCTAGGAACAAGTCAAGAGGGAGTCGAGCCTCCCGTCCGAACAGCAACATGTGTGGCGAAAAGCCGGTTGTGGCATGGGGGGTGCAGTTGTATAGATATACCAACTCTGGGAGAAAATCAGGCCAACGTTTTTTCTGTTCAGGTTCTAGAGTACGCAGCAAATCATGCATGCTGCGGTTGAACCGCTCGCACTGTCCGTTTCCTTTCGGATTAAATGTGGTTGTTCTAGATTTGTTGATCCCGTAGTGGCTGCACAGTTGGTTAATTACTTCTGACTCAAAGGCCCTTCCTTGGTCAGAGTGTAATTGTCTTGGTATGCCATATTTGATGAACCAATGTTCTATTAAGACCTTTGCCACTGTTTTGGCAGTCTGATCTCGTGTGGGCACCGCCACAGTCCATTTGGTGAATACATCAGTCATTACCAACACATGTTCCGTCCCATCCGATGATTGCTCCAACGACGTAAAGTCCATAGCCACAATCTCTAGTGGTTTTGTCGCCAGTAGGTGTCCTGATGGCTGTCTCATTTTGACAACTGGCATTTTCGCATGCTGACACCTAACACAAGCCTCACAATGGCGTTTGACCTCCATCTCCATATTGGGCCAGTAACACCTCCGTCGTAATATTTTGTGCGTCCTGTCCTGACCCTGGTGTCCTGCCCTGTCATGTGCCAACCTTAGCACTTCTTCTCGTAATTGTCCAGGCACCACCACCTGGTGTATTGTCCCGTCTATTTGGTCATGAATTCTCCGCATGAGAACACCATCCTTTATACTGAGACGGTCCCACTGACTCAGTAGTTTCTTTGTTTCCCGACCAAACTGTTCTCTTTCCCTTTTTCCTGGGAATTTTTGTTCCTGGACGTATTTCAACAGCGGCTGTAAGCCACTATCCGTTTTCTGTGCATTTCTTATCTCTTTGTGATTAAGGCAATTAAAATCACTAATGTCCATATGACGGGGCTCTGTGGATATGTGCTCCACCACAGTCTGCCCGTTTTGCATCACCTCTACTTCTTCAATAGAAATGTGCAAGACTTCTACTTTTTTTTCTTCATCTGCTATAAGAAGTGTATTATTTTCAACCTTTTTCATTAGTTCTAATACTTGCTTTTCTAACTGTTGATTCAATAGCCTTTCTTTTTCTATCATTTCTTCTAGTTTGCCAACACTGTTCTGTTGTCTCATGTTTTTATTTTCTTCTTCAGCTAACAGACACTTTAAAGATGAACATTTCTCCTGTGCTTTTAATTTGCATGAACTTTCCCTATCCAGTTTCATCGTTAACATTGAGATCTCATTCTTAAGTTTACCAATTTCTTTCTTATCATAATTTTTCTCTGCCAACAAATTGTTCACTTGAAACTTTTCAACATCCAAGTTCATTTCACAGTTCATTTTTTCTATTATTAACAAGTCTTTTGAATTCTTAAGTTCTTCTACCAAGGCTATAGTATCTGTTAGCTTAGTTTCACAATTCTGAAGTTCAGAACGCTTCAAATCTAATTTTCCTTGTGTAATTTGAAGTTCTTTTTCAATATCTGATAATTTCTCTTCAAGTCCTGTTTGAGACTCTTTCATTGTTGTCCCATTTTGTTTCTTAAGCCATAACCTCGCCACTCTGTAGCCTTATCTTGCCTTACAGAGGGCGATCGTTTCACCGGACAGTACCGTGCCACATGTCCGGGTTGAGAGCAGGACAAGCCGATTGGTCGACCGTCAGCCGTCCACCGGAGCGATGGACCAGCAGGTCGCGGCTGTCCAACCTGACCATGTTTTGTCCCGTTTTTGCCCTGATTCTCAGCTGTTGACCTGCTTTCTAACCTCTCCAATCGTTGGCCAACCTTATCCAGGTGGGCCAACAGTCGGGCCATCATGGTTTCCATCGTGCCGGTCCCTGTGGGTGGGGATTGTTTCTGTTCCGGCACCGAGACTTTGTCTACCGAACAGTTCGATTGGTCCTCATCCTCGGACCTGCGGATCGCTGAGTTCCTGACCTGAAGGAAGGTCAACTGTGGGTCTTTGTAGACCTCTTCTTTCAAATATCTTCTTGCCATAGGGGTCGCCAGCCCCTCGATGAAATGGTCCCTCAGCAGGCGCGCATCCATGTCGGGTATTTTGCCTTTTACAGCTTCAAAGGCCCCGTTCATTCGGTGTGAATACTCCATCACACTCTCCGCCATTCTCTGCTTCACGCCTACGAACACCGATAGCAGTTGCGATCCCGACCGTCTCTCCCCAAAGGTCTCCATAATTAGATCCAGCACCTTATCTGGATCTGCTTGGATGGTTTTATCGTGGCATTTGACCTCTGCCCTAACCGTCTCTCCTATACTGCCCATCAGCAGTCTTAATCTTTCCTCTGGTGACATGTATCTCGAGGCCCAGGCAGCCCTGACCTCTTCACTGAACCTGTTGGTTAAGGTTGGATCACCGTCCCCGTAAAATTTGTTGATGTGGGACTCACTGGGCAGGACCACAATATGGATCGGCTTTTTGTCCAAATTTTGTCCTGGTCCCTCTGGAGGCAAAGGGTCATCCTCACCGTTGCCTATCTCTGGGCTATCTTTATTTGAGTCAGATTGTTGGGCCAACAGGAGTTTCTGTTCTTTTCCGATATCTAAAATACCACTCCCGCGTCTGCCACTCACACCAAGGAAAAATGTTGCAGCTATGCAGCAAATAGTGTTGCCCAAAAGGGAGATCATGACACATTTCCAGTGTCCAAGAGTTACATCCATATCTTGGTTGCCATCTTTGCCCAGTATT